TATATATATATATATATATATATATATTTATATATTTATTTATTTATGATTATTTCGACGAAAATTTCAAACTATATCTTACACTCTTAGAAACTATTTCTTACATCACTTCTCACACAATACCAAACTCTCGTCCATGGCAAGGGTAATGAGACTTTACATAAAGTCAGGTTAAGGTGAAATGTATTCTAAGGCGGGTTACACGCGATCAGCTTGAACCAGGCTACATAATGGTAAACCTCAAAATGGGATCTTCACGACAATTCGATGCCTCGGGTCCACATGGCCCACGTTAAGAACTCTCAACCTTAGGTCCACATGGCCGCTTTAAAGAACTGTCAACCTTAGGTCCACATGACCCACTTTAAGAACTATCAACCTTGGATCCACTCGGCTCACTTTTAAGAACTATCAACCTTGGATCCACATGGCCCACTTTAAAAAAAAAAACTATCAACCTTTGATCCACATGGCCCACTTTGAGAACTATCAACCTTAGGTCCACATGGCCCACTTTTAAGAACTATCAACCTTAGGTCCAGGCGCCAACTTTGAAAGCTGTCAACCTTAGGTCCACATGGCCCACTTTGAAGAACTAACAACCTTAGGTCCACAGGGCCAACTTTGAGAACTCTCAACCTTTGGTCCACATGGCCCGGTTTTAAGAACTACAAACCTTAGGTCCACAGGGCCAACTTTGAGAACTCTCAACCTTGGATCCACATGGCCAACTTTGAGAACTATCAACCTTAGGTCCACATGGCCCACTTTTAAGAACTATCAACCTTAGGTCCACATATCCCACTTTTAAGAACTATCAACCTTAGGTCCACATGGCCCACTTTGAGAGTCGTCCTTGCACTCATTGGGTTTAAAATCTGTGCACATTGCACACAGCTTGCCGCCTACACAACATTGTCGGACTGGAGTTGCCAAAGACCATTCATTGAGTTGGTGGCAAGAGAGGGGCGGGTGTGTGTGTGTGTGGGGGGGGGGGCTGGGGGGCTAAAGTGGCGTAGCAATAGCATCCATTTTGATTGGCTGTTGAAACCGTCAAATCGTGAGCCTGCACGTTCGGTGTCAAAATTCAACGGATTCTACGGAGTAGGCTGAATAGAACTGCAGCGCCACACTTTCAACACCCTTTACAGCAACTACACTACTATAGCACTGCACTACTACAGCAACGACACTACTATAGCACTGCACTACTACAGCAACGACACTACTATAGCACTGCACTACTACAGCAACGACACTACTATAGCATTGCACTACTATAGCAGCTACACTACTATATCAAATGCACTACTACAGCAACTACACTACTATAGCACTGCACTACTACAGCAACGACACTACTATATCAAATGCACTACTACAGCAACTACACTACTATATCAAATGCACTACTACAGCAACTACACTACTATAGCACTGCACTACTACAGCCAATCCACTACTACATCATTTACAGGACAACAACTACACTACCACAGCAACTACACTACTACATCAACAACACTACCATAGTAACTACACTACTATAGTAACTGCACTACTACTGCAACTGCATTACTATAGCAACTATACTACTATATCAAATGCACTACTACTGCAACTACACTACTATAGCAACTACACTACTATATCAAATGCACTACTACAGCAACTACACTACTATAGCAACTACACTACTACAGCAACTACACTACTATAGCAACAGCGCTACTACTGCAACTACACTACTATAGCAACTGCGCTACTACTGCAACTACACTACTATAGCAACTGCGCTACTACTGCAACTACACTACTATAGCAATTACACTACTACAGAAACAACACTTCTATACTAGGTAGGGCTGCTGACTCAACAAAAATATATTAGATTTTAAAAAAATAGGTTTTAAAAAATAATTTTAATTATTTTGTTAAATTATGGAAACATATTTTAATTTAAAAAAAAAAAAAAAAAAAAAAAAAAAAAAAAAAATTTTAAAAAAAAATTTTAAATATTTTTTTAAAATAAGGAAAAAAAATTTAAATTAAAAAAAAAAAAAAAAAAAAAAAAAAAAATGAAACTGTTATATTTTAAGGACACATTTTTAAAGCTAAATTTGTTAAAACGGTGGAGCAAAATCAAATTCAAATATCCGCAGAGTTTGACTGTAAAGCTATCAAGTATAAAATGAATTCTTGTCAAATGACGGGAAATCCTACTTGTATTCCTTTATGTAGTCCTTTATGTTGTCCTTTATGTAGTCCTTTATGGTGTCCTTTATGTAGTCCTTTATGTTGTCCTTTATGTAGTCCTTTATTTAGTCCTTTATGCAGTCCTTTATGCAGTCCTTTATGTAGTCCTTTATGTAGTCCTCTATGCAGTCCTTTATTTAGTTCTTTATGTAGTCTTTTATGTAGTCCTTTATGTTGTCCTTTATGTAATCCTCTATTTAGTCATTTATGACTTATGTAGTCGCTTTGTGTCATCCTTTATGTAGGGATTGTAGTCCTTTATGAAGTTCTTTATGTAGTCCTCTTTGTAGTCTTTTGTGTAGTCCTTTTACATTCATATCATCTCGTTCTGCTACTTTTATAAACATACAAGTTGAAAGCAAAAAAATAAATATCGCTTTGATGGCCTAAAAGGAGTTTGTAATTTTTGAACTGAACTCTTGAAAGTTATGCGGCCAAGTCATATTGTGTCAAACTTTTAAGATAAGATAAGAGAAGATAACATTATTTTATCCTTACAAATAAATGATATTTTATTACATTGTACATATTCATTTTTAGCATATAATCAAACATTGTGCACGAGAGTATTTCTTCAAACAATTTTACACAAATTAAACACAAGGCATTTAAAGTGTTCCTCAGCCGCAAAAAATGAGCCGTCATACATCACAAAACTTCACTCCAGTGGAGGATAATTTTTTACGGACTGATGGCAAGTCTGATCAGGCACTTCTTAGTGTATGGGCACTACTTGAAATATGGACACTACTTGGAATATGGGCACTACTTGAAATATGGGCACTACTTGGAATATGGGCACTACTTGAAATATGGGCACTACTTGGAATATGGGCACTACTTGGAATATGGGAACTACTTGGAATATGGACACTACTTGGAATATGGGCACTACTTGGAATATGGGCGCTACTTGGAATATGGGCACTACTTGAAATATGGGCACTACTTGAAATATGGGCACTGCGGGAAAGTTGCTGATAAGTGACCCGTTGACAGACAAAATGGCAATCAAAATGACCGACAACATGATAGATACCATAACAGATAACATGACCTATAACATGAAAGACAACATGATAGATACCATAACAGATAACATGACCTATAACATGAAAGGCAACATGATAGATACCATAACAGATAACATGACCTTTAACATGAAAGGCAACATGATAGATACCATAACAGATAACATGACCTATAACATGAAAGGCAACATGATTAGATACCATAACAGATAACATGACCTATAACATGAAAGGCAACATGATAGATACCATAACAGATAACATGACCTACAACATGAAAGGCAACATGATAGATACCATAACAGATAACATGACCTATAACATGAAAGGCAACATGACATCACACATCTCGTACACACTTTTTAAACTAACTGGACGGTCCCACAGATTTGATAACACGGTCTCATTCTCTGAGGCAGGGATCAACGGAACGGTCACCAAGATGGTGACAACACAGTACACAGACTCATGCTCTGGGAGAGCCACCCCCTGCACGCCCCCCCCTCCACATTGTGACACCACAGCCTCGTGCGCCCAGGCAGTAATTGGTCACTGAGAGATAAGGATATACACACACCGCGTGAAATATGATGTGGAGAGAGGGGGCAGAGGTAGGGGAGGGTGTCAAATTATGTCACCATGGGTTATACTACAGTTTAACTTGTTCTTAAGGTTGGCTCAATGGGACTACTCTGGGAGAGGGGACCGCCAGGAAGTCCATTATATTCAGGCTGTGGGGAAAAAAGTCGAGCCAAGTACTAATCCAGCATTTAGACACCCTCCTAAAGGATAAAGTAATAACATAGCCTGCTTGAAAGGTGACGCTTTTTGTCGCCATAACATAATATTTTTTTGTTATGCCTAGTTAATATAGCACGCCTTATTTGTTACATGAGATCATTACCTGTAATGAGATGCATCGGGCAAGACATTCGCATCATTACCTGTAATGAGATGCATCAGGCAAGGCATTCGCATCATTACATGTAATGAGACGCATCAGGCAAGGCATTCGCATCATTGCATGTAATGAGACGCATCGGGCAAGGCATTCGCATCATTACATGTAATGAGACGCATCAGGCAAGGCATTCGCATCATTACATGTAATGAGACGCATCGGGCAAGGCATTCGCATCATTACATGTAATGAGACGCATCAGGCAAGGCATTCGCATCATTACATGTAATGAGACGCATCAGGCAAGGCATTCGCATCATTACATGTAATGAGACGCATCAGGCAAGGCATTCGCATCATTACATGTAATGAGACGCATTGGGCAAGTCTTTCGCATCATTACATGTAATGAAACGCATCAGGCAAGGTATTCGCATCATTGCATGTAATGAGACGCATCGGGCAAGGCATTCGCATCATTACATGCAATGAGACGCATCAGGCAAGGTATTCGCATCATTACATGTAATGAGACGCATCAGGCAAGGTATTCGCATCATTACATGTAATGAGACTAAGGTTTCCATCCGTCCCGATATGTCGGGGCTATCGCCGTTGTTAATTATATTCTAAATAAACAGTAATTATATGAAATTTTGTTTCCCCTTCATTTCCACACACCCCATCTCAGAGTGTACGAGACGAGGTCCCAGCTAGATATGGCAACCCTACACCCCCCATCCCAGAGTGTACGAGACGAGGTCCCAGCTAGATATGACAACCCTACACCCCCCATCTCAGAGTGTACGGGACGAGGTCCCAGCTAGATATGACAACCCTACACCCCCCATCTCAGACTGCACGAGACGAGGTCCCATGACAACCCTACACCCCCCCAATCTCAGAGTGTACGGGACGAGGTCCCAGCTAGATATGACAACCCTACACCCCCCATCCCAGAGTGTACGGGACGAGGTCCCAGCTAGATATGACAACCCTACACCCCCCATCGCAGAGTGTACGGGACGAGGTCCCAGCTAGATATGACAACCCTACACCCCCCATCTCAGAGTGTACGGGACGAGGTCCCAGCTAGTTATGGCAACCCTACACCCCCATATCAGAGTGTACGGGACGAGGTCCGAGCTAGATATGGCAACATGGCAACCCAACACCCCCATTTCAGAGTGTACGAGACGAGGTCCGAGCTAGATATGGCAACATGGCAACCCTACACCCCCATCTCAGAGTGTACGGGACGAGGTCCGAGCTAGATATGGCAACATGGCAACCCTACACCCCCATCTCAGAGTGTACGGGACGAGGTCCGAGCTAGATATGGCAACATGGCAACCCTACACCCCCATCTCAGAGTGTACGAGACGAGGTCCGAGCTAGATATGGCAACATGGCAACCCTACACCCCCATCTCAGAGTGTACGGGACGAGGTCCGAGCTAGATATGGCAACCCTAAATAAGAAGCACCAGGCAACACTATGGCTTCAGTTGTGGAAACCTTTGCAACAAAATCTGTTTACAAAATGTTTGAGTGGGGAGTGGGGGTGGGGGGTTGCTTAATTGACCATGTCACGGGATTAATCTCACCTCTTTACGCTTTACTATTTATTTAAACGATTTTGGGGGGGGGGGGGGGGGAGGGGGGGGGGG